TTCCCGATGTATCAGGTCGGTGTAGAATCGACTTCAAGGGATAAGAAGTCAGTACTGTTATTGAATGTTCTTGGAAATAAGGACGTAACTTTCGAGCAGCAGTAACAAGGGCATATGCCAACTTCTCCATCGCCGGGTATCGTAATTCGGCTTCATGTAAGGCCTTACTGACATAGTAGATTGGATATTGCTGACGCCCGTCTTCACGAATAAGAACAGCACTGATTGCAGAGTCACTAACCCCCAAATATAGATACAGCATTTCTTCGGGAATCGGTTTCTGTAAAGCCGGGATTTGATGGAGTGTTTCTTTTATTTTATTTAGAGCTAATTGACATTCTTCTGTCCATTCGAAGCATTTTCCTTTCTTTATAGATTCAAAGAAGGGTTTGCATCGATCTGTTGATTTGGATAGAAATCGATTTAAGGCAGCAAGTCGGCCGGTAAGAGCTTGAACTCCTTTTACCGATGTGGGAGGTGAAAGATCCATAATTGCCTTTATTTTCACTGAATTGGCTTCAATACCCCGCTGAGTGACGATATATCCCAAAAATTTTCCAGAACTAACTCCGAAAGTGCATTTCTTTGGGTTAAGCACCATTGAATATTCTCTCAAGATGTTGAACATTTCCTGCAAGTGATCAATGTGATCGGCCGCATGAACCGACTTGACTAACATGTCATCCACGTAAACTTCCATGGTATGTCCGATGAGTTTGGCGAACATTTTATTAACCAGCCTCTGATATGTGGCCCCAGCATTTTTAAGACCGAACGGCATCATAGTATAACAATATAATCCTCGGGCTGAATAAAAAGATGTATGTTCTGCCTCATCAGGGTCCATTGGGATTTGATTATAACCCGAATATGCATCCATAAAGCTCATCAATTCATGTCCAGCTGTGGCATCCACCATGTAATCGATATGCGGTAAAGGGTAACTGTCTTTGGGACAGGCTTTATTTAAGTCGGTAAAATCAATGCAAAGTCGCCATGCACCAGAACTCTTTTTCACGAGAACAGGATTTGACACCCAAGTCGGGTATTTGGTCTCTTGAATGAATTTGTTGTCAACCAGTTTTTGAACTTCTTCTTCGAGAGCTTTCTGTCGATCAGGACCGAGTTTACGTCGTTTTTGAACCACTGGTTTAACTGTTGGATCCAAGTTAAGTCGATGAGAAGCGACCTTTGGATCAATTCCTTTCATATCTTCGTGTTTCCAGGCAAATACGTCGGAATTAGCTTTGAGGAATTGAATGAGCCGAGTTCGTATTGGTTCTTGAAGATTGGCCCCAATTTGCACCGACTTGTGACAAACTGGATCATCAATGAATATTATCTCGACCTCTTCTGATGGTTCGGCTCGTTCAAGTTTGCTTTTCTCCTTAAATTGAATTCGAGGATCAAGTACGTCTTCTTCTTTAATTGGCTCTTTTCCCGGACGTCTTCCACGATCACAAATCAAATCGTTGTTTGATTTCACAGGATCGAGTTCCATCTCGGTATTGCATGGTTCCGAGTTAATGAGTGTTGAATTTTCTCGACTTTCTTCAATATCCTCCATCATATGTACAGGCATACAGGGTTCATGCCAGGGTTTAACCCATACCATTCCGCGAGCTTCGTACTGGTCTCCATAATGAGTTCCTTCTCCATTATTAGTAGGAAATTTTAGAGCATAATGAAATATTGATACAGCTGCACGAAGCTTGTATAAAGCAGTCCGTCCAATGATGGCATTATATTGATTTTTAAGATCCATCACCTTGAATGTCTCCATAATAACTTTGGAGGCCTGTCCAGGGATTCCGAACCGAATTGGCATAGTGATTTCGCCAAGGGTTGTCGTTATAGTTCCATTAAAGCCTTGTACTTGATCTTTACAGGGTTTTAGCTCGGCTGGATCGATTCCCATTTGTTCAAATGTACGTAACATCATAATACTTGAATATGCTCCAGTGTCCACCAACATACGATGTATCGGTATTCCACAGATGGGTGCCGTGATTATCAAGGGATCAGCATGAGGGTGAGCAAAATAACTTGCATCATCAACATTGAATGTAATCGGGCAATTGTTCCGAGCATTAATTTTATCTCGGAGGTCGGTAGTTAAAACTGTTTTTCCCGAGTTAAAAGCTTTTCGAGCATACGCTTTTATTTGCCTTCGTGATTCCAACGTTGCATTACTGCTGTTGTTGACCCGAGGTACATGGTGTGAGTTGTCTGGATTATAGTATCCTCCTCGATACATCATTTCAGTCGAATCTTTTTCTCTTTGATTCGTCATATATATTTCTTTCTCATTTGATCTCACCCGTTTTGGATTAATTGGACGCTCTTCATCGTCTTCATCGTCTGATAAATCAGGCATTCTTCCTTTTCGTTTGTAATCAACATTCTTGGCAAATCTTTGGACTTGAGGATGTCCAATAAGTCGCAACAAGGCAGAAAGTAAACCGAGACATTCATCAGTATTATGGCCTGCCGACTTATGATATGAACAATATCTTGTTTTATCAAGTTTTTCTTCGGGTGTTCTGACAGGTCGAGGATCAGGAAGAATTCCCTTTCCTTTTAATTCCTCAAATATTGTTGCTGCTCCTGCCGAGAATACTGTCTGGTAGCTGGATTTAACTTCATTAAGATATTTAGTTCTGGCTTCTTGCACTTCAGGTATTTTTGGATTCCCGAATCGAGACTTATTTGGCTTGAAAAATTTATTTTTCTTCTTTTTTGATTCTTGCCCGACTTCCGACTTCAACGAGGAAAAGTCGATATTAGGAACCGACATTGATTCTTCGGCTAAAATGTGCTGTTGAGCCCGAGCTAGAAAGTCTTGAAACGAAGTCGGTTTATTTTGACATATACTCCATCGGAACAACGAATTTGGCTTCAATCCGGCTATAGCTGTGACCAATAGTGTTTCGGGATGGCATTGCTCCATATTTTGTATGCGCTCGTTGAACCGAGTAATGTAGTCTTTCACACTTTCATCATCTTTTTGTACAATATTTGCGATTGACTCTTTGGGAATTAAAGACACCCGGGCCCCGATAAAATGAGAGCGAAAAGCTGTCCTCAACTGCTGCCACGTGGAAATTGAATACCGGGATAAAGAGTGATACCATTTTTGAGCTCGTGGTCCCAAAGTTAAGGAGAACATCCGACATCTGAGTGCTTCATTCGCTCCATGAAGATCCATCCAAGACGTATACTGACCGAGATGGGCATCAGGATCGGAAGTTCCATCATATAAGCCGATTTGCGGAACTTTCACTTTAGTTGGGATTGGTTCTCTGGTCAGGTGAGGAGCTAAGGGAGTTCCAACCTCTTGATATGTCTCTTCTATCACTGGAGTTCGTCGTGGCGATCCTCCATGTTCATCTTGGCAAGTCTCCAGCTCAGCAATTCTTTTTCTCAACATTTCTAACTCTTCTGATTCGCGTCTTTGACGATTTCTTTCAATCAAACGACGTAATTCATTCTGCCCACGACGAGCATGAGTTTGTTCAAGAGTGTGTCGTAAATCAGAAGGTTGATCATGTCGTGATAGTTCTGGTAACGACGGAGTAGGCTGTCGTGGTCGATGTCCAGAATGGCTTTCTGCAGTCGCCTCTGATCGCGCTGGTTCTGGAATTCGAGTTTGTACCGGAACTACTCCACGAGTTTGAGTTGCATCATGTTGTGATTCATGTGTATGTGGATGAGAAGTTGCATGTGATGTTGTAGGAATATTATTTCTTCGTGGAACTGGAGTTGAGCGAGCTTGAGGATTAGCCGCTGTGGTTGATTCTATTCTTGTTCGTGCCATGAAATCAGTTAAGTTTTTCAAGAACTCTGGATCTTGAAATAGAGCTGAATAATCAATTGATGTAGATGGCACGGCAGAAGTTCCGGTGGTATGAATTGGATGACGATTAATCCCAGGGTCAGGATTTCGTTCATTTCGTCCAGAATTCGACATCCTTTGAGTATTGTTTACTAGACAAACAATTGAAAAGGGAGCCGCCCTTCTTCTAGCGCCAAACTGTTGCTGTTTTGAATTAGCAACTTAAAATTGAACACAGTTGATGTTTCAAGAATGAAGATAAAGGTTAAATTGGATTTTATTAATTATGTTCACAAGAGTACAGAAGTCGGTTTCAAGGGGAGAACCGAGGTTGTCTTAAGTTCGTGTACAATGTGATCGAAAAAGATCCTTGTACTATCATAAATTCTGCTATTTATAGTACGGTGGCTTTTGTCCTCTTCCTCGAAATGGATAGAGATGCATTTAATATTGAGCTGCTTTGTTTTGAGGCGGCGGGAAACATCAATAATTACCTTTTTGTTTTGTTGGTCCAATCAGATGCTTCTAATGATTACTTTCTGTTTGGAATGCTCAAACTTTGTGGTAGTCGGTTGACTTGATGTCGGTTTATTTACGTCGGTTTCGGATGTCGGTTTTGATCCTCCTTGTCGGTCTGTCGGAAGAGATCTATGGAAGTCGGTAACTTGCTATAGTATATTCCGATTTTTAGTACCTTAATTCTGATTACTGGATTTGATATCAACATATCGTTTGACTATTATTCCAATTATACTTATCTAAAAATAATATTAAAAGAATCTGACAATTTTAATTTACAACAAAATCTTGATTCTATAAGCATTATTAAAAAAGAAATACATAAAACATAAGATTCAGAAAGATCTTATGAAGATATGAAAAACACATGAATTGTTTATTCTTTTTATTTACTCAAAAAAAAAACATTTAATTTTGGTGCATTAATTTAAAGAACATGCACTTTGTGAAATGCATTATTTATTGATAATGCTGCTGCTTTAACATAGTTAGCTTCAAAATCTGAACTAGTTGCAACATGTCTGGCTTAGACAAGTGCTTAGAACTTCTAAGCATTAGACATTCCTTTGCAGTATTAAGCCAGCATTAGACATTCCTTTGCAGTAAGTATATTGAAACTAGCTTCATGGTTAATTAGAAGTTCAGTAAAGGCCACTCATTGGTTAAATGTTCCATGACCACGCACAATATACTTCTTAAGCTTAATCTTCTACCTTTATCGTGATAATATATGTGAAAGAGTAATATCCAATATCATATGGAATCATGCAACTCTGCAACAAATGCACCTTTTAAAATATGAAAATTGCTAAGATATCACCATTCATCAGAATCAAAATTCGGAAAAAACTGGCGGTAAAATGCCAAAGCAAACATCGCACTGTACAGTATTTATAGGAGGCAGCTTCTAAAAGATGTCATGAACCTATTTCTTCCTTCGAACGACACTATCTATACAATGAATTTCCACTAATATTTTGCGGCACTTAACCGAATCCAAAACCCTCACTGCCTTCATGGATAGCAAGCAAGAGTCTCTCCTCCAACCGCTCCTTGGAAGGATATTCCGGAAGATCCAACTGATTGAAACTGCATGAGTTTGCAAGTGCTCGTACGTTATTTTAGTTAATAAGCCCCAAAAGTACACACAGCTGTAGTCAAAGTTTATAGCAGAAACTACCATTGAAGTTCAAGGATCAAGATAAAGAAATATATAATTTCAAAACGATTTACTCACCATGTGTGAGCAGAAGGCAAATGATCGGGACTGCCATATGCCTTGTGAATCTGGAATTTTTGTGATCCTGAAATTCCTTGAAGTGCACCAAATCCTTCTAAAGGCACCTAAAAGCCAAAAAGGAAAAAGGATGAAACACAGTAAATTGTGAAAGGAATCAAGTTTTGGGCATGTAAGAGATTGCTAGCAGCTCAATGCTATTAAGGACATATTGGCAAATCATGATAAATAGCATTACAAAATTCATGTATCAGAAAAATAATAAATCTAAGATCATCATAGATGTCGAACAATGGAGTTTCAGGTAAGCTTTAAATTAATCACCATCTCACAACTAGAAAAAGCAAATAAAGCAACCTTTGATGTTCCAGTCACAAATTGCAGCAGGCGAGCTTTATCTTCTTTGCTGAATCCTTGAACAATCTCCCAGAACCACTGAATAGCTGGAGAAGCGGTACTGTACCCTGAGTACTCTGTATTTGCCCTCAGATCATCCACTGCAAAACATTCATTTAGTTTTCGCTATAAAGCTCTTAACTCATAAGCTTAAGCAATAAAATATGCTTTTTTGGAAAGTTACTGTTCAAACACACATTAACAAAGTAAAGGATAAAGTATCAGAACTCACAGTCGATGTCAGGCAGCCCACTTATCAGGAGTTCCAATTCCTTGTCATTGAATATAGATATCAAATCACGAGAGATTAGTTCATTAAACCCCTCCATGAATGCATTTATCTGAGGACGAATGGCAGTTGTCAACCGATGTTCAGCAACTAAATCAACGTATTGGTGCTTGTTACCCTCAGTTACTCTAATATTTCGACCTCCAGGGATTAGTTCATAGTCAGTTACCTACATAAAATATTCACTCATAAATCAGTAAAGAAATTCCCACATGTACTTTCTTAGTAGGAGCAATTAGAAATGCATACTTGAGTACGTTCATAAAGAATCAGCTTTTCTTCGTCAGCATCAATGCTGAAAGTCAAGTCCAGGACATCGCTTATATCATTCTGCAATGGGCAAATAAGAACCACAATCAACTCCCATCATCAAAATTCTGGAAATCAAAACGAGCAATAGAATTAAGCAGCTTAGAAGAAGGAAAATACATCGACTTTCGACAAGACTTACCTCAAGCAGCCATTTCAAATTCTTAAAATAATCTGGATCAATAGCTTCAATATCATGATATGTAACTTTAACCCCAAGAATATGCTTGTAAAAGGAGCGAGTGAAGTGAACATCAAGGAGCTGCCCATCAAATAGTGCCTTCCCAACCTGTAAAATACTCAAAATGTAAGGAATTTATGTGGCAGAGGTATCCATCGTCAATAGCATAAAAATGTGAAATACTCACAACTCGCCCAACAAATTTGAAGTACGAGAGATGCTCGGTTTGGTAAACAGAATTGGGGTTTGGCTGAAATGTTGATTCATTCCCGACGGTTGTGAATAGTAGTGCCCCCTTGTCGAAGATTACCCTAGAGAGCAACTGATACCACTCCCTGGTAAGACCACCAGCGTCAATTCCTTCCTCCCCTTGAAAATGAACATTCAATCTACCCTTCAAATCTTGTGCAGGCCTCAAACGCAGCTGATTGTACGAATCTTCAAGGATGTAAGCTCTTCTCACAGAAATTCTCACAGGACTGTGATGAGTATCGTGCTGGTCCTTTATCTTGGATCTAAAGTGGGAACGTTTATTATCAAAATCAATAAAGCGAGGAACTTTGAGCATAAGTGAAAAGGACTTCTCAAGCAATCCTGGATTTTGCCTCACAAAAGCATTGAGAAGCTTTCTGTGCTTCTCTGAGAACCTTAAGAAAGCAACATGTTTCTCATCCACTTTCAAAGCTGATCCTGAAGGTTTGACTTGACTAGAAGATGCAATACCCTCGTCAACATCAGAAACAGAAGTAGCACCAAAATCAGTGCCTGAACTCGACTGACCAGGGTTCAACTTCTCACACGTCACAAAGAACGACTCTATGTATGGCAAAACATTCTGAGTTCCTGCAGGAAGTGAGGGCACTGAGCTGCTAGATGGTTTGACAGATGAAGTTGAACGATCGGATACCATATCAGAGTAAGTCTCTATTTTGCTTATGCAGTTGCTCAGTTCCTGCCACAATGGCTCAAGAGCTGCATTAATATCCCAAACCACCGAAACAGCAGCAGTGTACTCCGTATCAGGGATGTTCTGATGTTTCTTGTCCTTACTGAGCAGTACAACAACTAAAGAGCTCAATGCTTGCAGGACCCTGAGAACTGGAGCCCCATGAGTAGTAGTAAAAAGGAGAGCTTTCTCTATGTCGCCAAAGACGTGTAACTCTTCTATAGCGGACTTGGTGAGGTTTCGAACTGAACCAGCAAGCTCAGTGATAAAGTGATTACAATGAATAGGAGCAACCGTCACCAGCTTTCTTAATACCTCCGCGGCAAGGGTGTAGGCATTATCTGAGAGACTGAAAAGGAGAAATATGTTACAAATTGGAGAAGCTCGTTAATGTAACTACCGACAGTATCTCAAAGGTAGGAATGAGTAAACCACAGTTTGCACCATAAAGAAGAGAACTATTAAGGAGAATGGAAAACAAATGTTTCAATATTATCATCAAAATTCTGTCGCTACTATAAGAACTAGAAAATTATTTGCAAGAGCTGCAATAAGCTAGTTCCATGATGAATTAGTTTGTACTACAAAAATTACAGGACTTCAGCATGCAAAATAGTAAAATATCAATAATTACTTCTTCAACGGCCCACATATGGCACTGTTCATGTAACATTGTTGCAACTATGACCTTGACCCCAAAAATCAACGAGTTCCTTAAAGTTGAAGACATAAATCACAACACTAATCTATTACTTGATTCAAGTACTAATAACCCGTATTAGGATTTCTATAACTAGCAAGCACATGGTAGAAATACGAACTACACACCATCTACTATTAAGCTAGCATAAAAGAATAGACATTTCAGCATACCCTTCGGATGCAAGAAGTGAGCAAAGACGTTGAAGCTCCAACTTCGGCAAGTTGTTGAGGTCTTTAGCATTCTGCTCTTTATCTTCATCAGAAGACAATGCTTTCAAGGAAGAGTTACCTTCCCCTGATGTTGAAGCAACTACTGATGTGGAATCTTGAGGATTGGATGGCTGTTCAGATGCAGATGACCCAGGGTCATGAGATGAATTTGATTTCTTCTCGGCATTATCAAGGATGACATCCAATAAATTTAGCAGCTGAGACCATGAGACAGTTTTTAATAAATATAATGGATAATCTACATCAAAATGCAGCATCTAAAATGGTTTGCAAATACAGACCTGCTCTAGATGAACTATGCTTCTTAAATAAAGTGGCCGGTTGAAGAGGCTTAGAAGCAATGTCAGAGATGACTGCCTTTCTGTGTATTTTTCTGACATGTCTTCATCGGAAAGCATCATAGCTTTTTTCCCTTTTTCATCTGAGCTCGGGGACTCCTTAAAATTCACTTGTGGCAATCTGAGCTCAAGTAATAGTTGTGCAACCAAAGGATGGTTACGGGACAAGTAGGTGAGAGTCTCTAGAGCTCGACGAGACACCAAAGGGGGAACACCTATAAAAGAACACACAGAAAGAACAGGCAAAGGTAACTACTTTAGAAAAGTGAAAGAAAGGAGGGAGAGCATCAATCTCTGAAGTATGAAAGCATGCTCGCATTATCCCTAAATTATCCATCTATTTCTGCAGATGGGATTCGAAAAGGTGTAGTAATTCAGCATAGTCAAACCGAATAGGAAACACCAGCAATTCAACTCTATTCGGGGAGGAAAAAATCAAAGCAGAGTCTAAAAAAAGATACTAATAAACCACCTGCTGCAACGGCAGCGAAATGGTTTTCTTCAGTTAATCCAGCCGGAATGCAAATTAACTATAGATACTTGCATGACATGGTAACTGTTGAAAAAATGTACTAACCATCAACATACTGAGGACGAGAATACATCACATGCTTGCAAGCGTACAGCCTGTAAGGAGGTTCCGTAGCATTCAGATCACTGGGAAAACTTCGCTTATCCGGCAGTAATAAGTCCATCAAAATTTTTAACAAATCACTTCGGGTTTCAGCGTGAGCACAGAGGTTAAGAAGTAGTCTCTGTTGACCTCTATAAAGTGGCTGCAAATAGATTAGACAAATTAAATTTACATATCAAGAAGTAACCTGTGGTAGCGCATCAAATGGATCATAAGATTACCTGAACAACACGAAGCAACCGAATCAGTGACTCCAGACCTTCTGTGTCGACCAAAGGCAATCCCTCAGCCTCGACTGGCGTAATAGCAGTAGATCGACGAGAAAGGCCACCACCAACTCTATCCACACCTCGCCTAGAAGACTCACCCCTGCGGTTTCGCGGATATATACCAAATAGAGTTTGATTGTACCTACGTGCAAACCTTTCGCGCAACATGTTTGCTTCAGCAACAAGGGCCGGGGTTAAATTTGCAAGAATAGCGTCAGAGGAAGTTAGAAGAACCTGAGATGTCAGTGAAAATCAATTATTGGCACTAAAATTACATTTGAACCAAAAAAAATATACTAAGTGAAAAACCCACTAAGAAGATACCTCTTCTCTTATGTCTGAAGGAAACGTCGCAATGATTGAGACAGTGTCCATTTCAACAGGTTGACCTTCCAGTTCATGGGACTGCTGCAGCCTTTGAGCCCTTTGTTGCGCCAAAACCTCTTCACGGATATCAGGGGGGAGTGCTGCAAGAAACTCAGGGTCTATATCCCCATTATTTTGGGGTTCGGGATTTTGCGGATTTGAAGTTTCACTAGGTTGGGCAGAAAGAACCTCAGCACGCAACTCCTCGGGAAGTGCGTCAAGAAAAGCAGGATCAATAGGTTCAGCATCGTGATTATTTTGCTCTTCATTAGGGGGTGCGGTTTGTTCTGCCTCTAGGATTGGGTCTTCTGAAACTTCTGTGACGCTATGAAGTGGTGCATCTCTCCCACTCAGAGATGGGTTATTACCAAAAGAAGGATTAATTCTCCTTATTCGGGCATCACTACCTGCTTGTCTATCTCCACCATCATCATGACCATCAGCACTTCCAATTTCAACATCCAGACTTCGTAAGCTTTCACCTAAAGTGGCCCCACTTCCACTACTCTCCTGACTCACTGCTTCAACATCACGCATGACATCAGCATGGTCGTCCTGAATATCAACAGACTGAGGTGGTTGATTTGAAGATTCCATACCCTGAGTTTCATGTGCAGTTGGAACATTACCAACTCTGGTACTCTCCAACACTGCTGAAGGAGGATGTTCAGTTATGCCTCCGACACTTTCTTGATTTCCAGCCGTTGTCTCAGCAGATGCAGCGGACAGACCAACTTCAACTCCGTTTTGAGATTCAACAGCTGCAGTATTGTTGGAGGGTTTCTCCGTAGAGGGGCGCGTCAAGCTGGAAACAAGTACTTCCTCAAGCCCTTGAGGGACACCAGATGAGTTTGATCCATTGCTTAGCTGGTCTTCATTGGCCAACAAATCAAATCTATGCCCTTGTCGGCCATGTCGAAGTGATCTGAAAACGGAGTCTAACTGTGACAGAGCTTCTGAGTTGGAGCGCGCATCATGGTTATTCTCTACGATAAAGAAAGAAAAAAATGCTGGAAGTTAGATTAATGCAGCTATATAGAAAGAGAAAAAAATGCTGGAAGTTAGATTAATGCAGCTATGTAGACTTTCTAAGGTCACCATGCCAAAGTCGCAGAGTAATCCAAATAAAAAGAAAACAGAAAAAGAATAACAGAAAACATAACACAAAAAGAAACACAAGGACCTGATGGTCTAGGAAGAAATGTATTCAGCGAAGGATGTGGTTCCACTAGAAGTGGATGTCGGGAAGGGCCAGCTCTATCACCACTTCTCCCTAAGAAATTGTATATGGATGTGGTTCGCCCCTGCCGTCTGGAGCCAAATATTTCAACAGGCATGACTTGAAATGTTCCACTGGAGATGCTATCTCTGCCAAAAACCTCTATTTGATCAAATACATTTACACCATTCATTCCGTCACCTAGTTGCAAAATAACACCATCCTCGTCGTCCTCTTCATCTTCATCCTCTTCCATCACATCCTCGTCAAATTCATCTTCATCAATGTCATGGTCATCTTGGTCAGTGTCGGTATGTGGGAGAAGATGGGCTTCATCTTGTTCAATATTATTGTGCTCGTCATCAGCATCCTCATCTTCATCATCATTAACTCCATCCTCTTCATCACCAGATATCTCATCATCATCATCTTCATCTTCATCAAGATCCCCTCTTATATTAGGGCGGATTTCAAATCTAATCCCAACAGTGTCAAGGCCACTTTGAAGATTTTGTGTCCCCTCAGTGTTCTCCTGCATGTAATCATCTACAGCAGCTAAAAAGCCCCTATCCTGGTCGTGTTCCATATCATCATTGACTGTCTCAGGTCCACCATAGTTCTGCACTGTGTGAGACGCCTCACTCCCGTCTATTTGCACTGAATTTTCATTAGCATTAACTGCAGTATCAGCAGCACGCAGACCACCGGCATTTCCTACCCCAGGCTCACTAGGATCAGCAGGTGTTATCAATTGCTCTTCTTTTCCATTAATGGACTCAAAAGCATTAACGTGTTCCTTGGTCACTAACTCCAAAACTTTCACAATTCCAGCAGCAACCTTCGTTGAGTCAGTATGGTCCAGGTCCAAAACACGGAGTATTCGGGTGAGTGGCTGAACAAGACCAACTTCTATGAAAGTGACCGAAGCTTCTGCTGTTATGTATGAACCAGTGGGTGACCGAGCAGACAGAACATCGTGGAGTAAATCAGTGAGAGACTGAATGTCAGCTCCTGGAGCCCTAAAACCATTAGAAGAGTCAACAAAGTCGTTGAAAACATTAGTGATCTCTGAGAATATTCTTTTCCTTGCCTCAGTTGAGCGAACACAAGAAGACACCAGAAAATGGTTGGCTTTACTGGCCAGTTTATGGAGCCAATCCACTTCCGTTTTCCTATCCTTTTTAGGATTTTTAGTATATGGAAGAAACTTGTAAAGAACATGATGAAATATCCCACCAACTGAGCAAGGAGCGTCAGCTTGTTGGGTAACTCCCCTGTAGCCACAAACTTCGGAATCCTTCCGCACGAGAATATGAATGGAGGAACTATACATGAAAAGAATCTCGGTCAAGAGCTTCAGTATAAATATAACCTTCACCATGGACACTGGGAATTCTTCATCGTTTGCTTCATTTGATTTAGACAGGGAGGTAACAGCTTTTCCTTTACCTTTGCTGGCAGAAACATCAATTTCCATATCTATAGATGATGAGCCATCATTGACAACAGATTTATCTTCAGAAGCAGGTGGCAAGAAGGTCAATACTAAATCCAGTAGAAGATCAATCACGTTTACAAAACTATGTGGAGGTTTTCTATGCACCTTGGAGGTTTTAGAATTTACATCAAGAAGCTTCCCCTGAGCACTGCTAGGAATGCTCGTCTTCCCATCATTACCTTGGTTTTTCTCCTTCTCCTTCTCTTTCTCCTTACATTTATCCTTCTCACGGTCTTTTATTAAAACAACATACGGTCGATCACCAACCATCTCAACATAACAAACAGACTTGGCAGCTTGCATAAAAATTATGGGATCACGTTGAATAAGGGCACTTAAATTTGACAGAAAATTTCGTGGAGTAAGCCTTCCAGTAGACTGCCGGTTAGCAAAAGTCAGGAAAGTATGCCGTATCTCAGACTCCATGGCCTGCTGTAAGGTTTGAGAATCTTCAAGGATGTGGCGTATTATAACAGCTACAACACAGTCAAAACCAACAAACAAGCTCCTAGCAGGCAAGGAAAGGATCAAATGCAGGCCTCCAGCCTCAAGAAAGCTAACAGCAACTGAGTGAGTCCTCGTTAGGGTAGAACAGAGCTGCAAAACAGCATGCATTGTTTCAGAAGGCAATTGTTTCCTGATGCAATTGCAAGCTACTTCAATTAGTCTATTCTGCTCGTGCAAATCCAAAATTTTCAACTGCCCCAAAGACATTGGTGCTTTGTTATGCTTATCATCATCAATAACAATTGAAGTATGATTGCCACCAGCATTCTTCATCAGAACTTCTAGCACATCAGCATTGGATTTAGTGTCCACTTGAGCAAGGCGATCAATGGCAACAAATGCTGAAGTTACCCATTTTGGGACTTGAGATGATTCTTGTTCATTGGAATTACTCCACAATTGAAGAAGCTCTGATGCAACTTTCACGAAACCATTTTTGGAGGCTAATTCTCGAGAAGCTGCATCTTCATGAAGTATTAGAGCAAGTACATGGAAAAAGGCAGAAAGCGTGTTTTGGTTTTCACTTCCATACGTGCTACTGCAAATTTTCACTTGTTCGACGATAAATGAAACTATGTGTGGTCTTTCATGACCTTCATTATGTGAGCAAATCATCACAAGCAAGTCCCTAACAGGGAAAACTAATGTCTCTTTCATTTGCACAAGTCTCCGACATGTCGACAGCAAGTCATCCACTGGAGGAAGTTGCACAAATTCCTCTTCAACAGGCTCAGGTTTTTCATCCGTCACAGCTTCTTTCGTCTCCGTACCAGGGTTCCCAAGGGACATTGCCAGCGCTCGAGCAAGCTCGTCATCCTCTGGCGTTTCCTCAGAATGTGAGAATAACCATTCCATTGCAAGCTCCACACTATTAGAACCCACATGTCTTAAGGCTTCTTCTGCCCGAGACCTCGAAAACCCCATCTCTACAATTGTTGAAATGGCTGACTCATTCAGCGGAGGACCAGCCAGACGACCCACATTAATACCAACATTTTTCACTTCCACTCCAGAGAAAATATGTCTAAAAATGTTAACAACCGCTGCAATGAATTCGTAACTGCATTCAGGGAAACGAGGGTGGGTCCAAACAGGAAGCACAGCCTTCAATACCATGGACTGGAGAATTTTGACAAACGTTTCTGCATCTCGAGGAAATAAAATATCCCCTTGCACTAGAGGCTGGGTTAGCAGATGCTTGTTGGATGGCGATAGAATAAAAGACGAAGTCACAAAGTGGTCCATAAGTTTACCATAACTAGCTAAAGGTCCATATATCCACGAGTAATCAGCTTCTTCAACTTGATTTTGCCTTCCCTCATCAATCTCCATTGGAGAAGCAGGAGCCCTAGTGATGGCAAAAGGCAATTGACTGGTGGCCTCGAATGTAGTCAAGACTGTATGAATAACTCCTCTTCCATACAAACAATTTAAGATAACGAGGTTAACTGAATCTGGCTTATCCATAAGAATACTGTCAATGAAATCAATAACCTTGCCAAAATAGCGACACTTGGTTGACACAGAAGCCTCAGATCCAGAAGGGCTGACATGACCTGTAAAACTCATGTGATTGGCAGCTATAGAAGCAAAGGTAGAAGCCACTGATTTTGCAGAAGGCGAAACGTTTAGTGTATCCTCCCTTCGACGAGAAGGTAACAGCATCACCTTCCCCAACTCTTGAAACATACGGGTAATGTGAATTGATAAAGACGATACCATGTCACAGCACGATTGATAGTATGATCTTTGATTGTCATCATCCTTTCTAGAACTGTATTCAGAAAAATCAGAGGAACCAGACCCATGCTGTTCCTGAACTGATTGAACCTGCAAAATAAAAATGAAATAACTAGTTTAATGCGAAACATTATTATACCAAATAAGAGAATTATGTTCCTTAAATTGCANAAAAAAAAAAAAAATGAAAAGAACTTATAAGATTTCAAATATGAACTAACAACGTCACGGAAAATTAGTAAGGAAACATAATTCAAATTTGAAATTCAAAGTCATCGGAGAGAAAAGTGATTTAATGGTGGATCAACAACCTGCTGAAGATGAAGACTTGAAGGCCGACTAAGATCACGATACCAATTTATAAGGTCAAAAAATTGCGACTCAAAGCTCCATCCTGAAGTTCGCCTTCTAAGCAATGGATCAAGCGACTGCCTGAATGAGTTCGACCTGGGGTCTTCAGTGTCATTCATGCCCAACGCAGACTGTTGTGAGGCATTAACTCTAACAGCTGATTCATCTTCTGTTCCAGCCTTCGCATCTTCAAGCAATGCGATTTGCCATAGGACTTCACGATGAATATGACTGATATCTACTAGGACACCGTTTTCGCCATTACCAAATTCAGTGAGCAACGCATTAACCCAACGAGTATCTTTCGAGGCAGCGAGAAATAATGCAAACTCGATTAGAGATAGAGAAGAAAATAATACGGGATCTGGTCTGGAGTTGGGATCCAGCAGAAAGGAACCAGAGACAACACTGAACCTAGACAGAGTTTCTTTCAAAAGATCACGCAGAGACGAGCAAATAGCACGAGCCAAAGGAGTGGAATGGTGCTGCGTAAAACACTTGAATACCACAGTGCTATTTAAGGCTATCGACATTCCTTCTGACGATTGAGTAATGCTTGGGCGTAAAAGAAGTTTCAGCAAAGCTTCAATACCAGATTTCTCCACAAATAAGCGACAGGTTTCAGAATTTTCCATTGTCCTGTGAAGTAGGACAATCACATGAAAGATGCAAATTTGCATACACTGCTGATCACTGATACCATCAACAGAACAACCTGCTTCACCAATTTTGGAGCACCCACCTACGTTTTCCGTACCCTCAGATTCCGCGGAATCCATTTCCATTTCATCTGTTTTTCTAATAAACCCCTTGAACTTGATATCAGCAAGCTGTGCAGTTCTGTTAATTATCTCAATTATAAGATCAACACCAGTACCTCTCAAAGAAGATACATGCCGCAGCAGCTCTTCTAACGCATTTGTCAAAGGAGCAATGGATTCATTTACAGCCATCACATACTTTCTATCAGTAAAGATCTCAACAAGGAAACGTAAAGCAGAAGTTTCTCTGACAGACTCCAAGCCCTTAGAGTTGAGGCAAACAGCACCAAGACCATTTGGAATACATGTAATGGCTTTGGAAGAAGGAAGTATTCCAGAAACAACTGATGAGAGGAATGCCGTAGGAAGACCCAAGTCATACAATGCATTAAAACATGTTGGATCTTTGTGAATCATTTCACTCATAAGAGTGACGGCTGCAGAGAAGATCTCACCTCCAAATTTTTCCTTGTTTCTGAAAATTATCAACAATGTGGAACCCAAGGTGACATCATAAGAATTCTGAGATCGCACAGCATTTGAAGTTGCATAAGTGGCAGAACCAAGAGCCTTCAACAAAGATCTGACCAATCTCTTATAAGTGTACAACTGATCAAGTTCAAAATATGCATCTGTGGTCACAGTATCATCCTTCAACCCAGGGAAATCAATCACTCTCTGAACTTCAACCTGCAATCTACGAATCAAATGCTCAATTCCACCCAAGTCTCTGAAAAGGGTGACAGCTGTGTTGCTGTAGTCCATGAGCTTCTGTAGAGTTTTCACAGCTATACAAACAAGACGAAAGTGAGTAGGATCTGAATCTTCTAAAAGTGGCAAAAAGGTGGGCACCATCCCAGATCCCCTAACAACAGTTCCAGCATTTGAAGAAGATATCACATGAAGCAAATAAAATTGTAGAAGGGCTTCAACATAGGTAACAGATGACAAATCAAGAGGGTTGTTTAGTGATATAATTGCCCGTTGTAGTACATTAAGGAGAATCGTACGGTTTCCACTAACAACGTTGATGCTTGATCCACGCAATATTCGTGCCCTTTCATGAGACGCAGCATATGCAGCTAACTGTGCTCCAAGTGCTGTCATTGCAAGGGTCCTCGTGGTGCCAGATATGAATTCTTCAGACTTCACAATTCTAATCAATTCATTCGTATACTCTGGCTCATTAGCAAAAAATGAAACAAGTTCATCATGAGCATCACTCGACTGTACAAGCACAATAAACGCAAGAAGAGAAATCTTGCTGTAAAGTCTGCATATTCTGGAGGAACGGAATGCACGAGCATATCTGATTCTTGAGAACAGTGGAAATCTGAGCTGCAAAGGCACATTATACTTCTGAATACAAAACTTCATGAGTGACAGGTCATCCTCTTCTCGCAAATGAAGATCGGGAAGCTGAATTATACTTGTCCCAGAAGATACAGTGCCACGCAACTCAAAGTACAGTGTGGACCCTAGGCGATGGTGCAATTTATCACAATCATTTTGTACCTCAGATGGAAACAAGCATAACACATCACCCTCAGACCTTTCATGTCGAGAAACACAGGAATACAAACCCAGGCCTTCTTCTTTGCTACCCCAACCTTGTGCAAGTGATAAAAGACAACTGTTCACTGACCCACATCCAACCATCTTTCCATTCACGTGCAATTTCGATGGAATTATTTTCACAAATGCACAGAGAGCCTCCAAAGCTGCTATGAGAATATCCGGATCTGGTGAAGCAAGCAATAGCTTGAAATGCTGAAGAAAAAGAAAACAGAGAGTTTAAAAGATCTTAAATATACTGGAATTGTCGGACCAAAAGGTAAAACAATAACACAAATGTTAAAAAATAATACTATTAGGAGTATGAAACAGGCATCTATTAATGTTTCCCCCCATAATGTACTCTCTATATACTAACCGAACCAGCAGTAAAATTTACATCCACCAATGAAAAAGATAACAACGTAAATTTCAGTCATCAACTCACCTCAATCGCGGCGAAAGAAGTCTTGTTGCGGCAATTTTCCAGAATAATCTGCATAACTCTCAGAATTTGTAAAACTGCCTGTTTAGGGAATGGGCTGGCGTCTCCTAAAATGTCATCTGACAAAAGGAGGTCGTTTCTGCAAGACAAGTAAGTCTTGAAATATGTGTCAAAATGTATAAATAGAGGCCTCCAATGGTTGAAGTTTCCCTGGAAAAAGAAAAAAGAAAAGAAAAAAGTAAGAAAAAGAAATATGTGAAAACAGAAGAATGAGCAATTAACAAGCAAATTCAGCAACCTTTCCATATTCCCAGCGAAAAACAGTGAGAGGAATTGCTATATCCTGCAACGGGCACTGGATAACCTTTTCAACAAAAGCTTTTATCCTTGAAGGCTGCATTAAGAATGAGTAACCCAACGACAGTAATGAGATGCAGCCATACACAACTGTGTTTGAGATATGAGGTAAACATCATAAGACTAAAGCTTCAATAAAGTTCAAATTCACGTATCAAGATTGCATAAACTGGTAAAAATACATACAAGGGTATTAGATATGAGGTATAAATAAATACATATAAAGGTGTTAGATATGAAGTATAAATAAATACATATTATTAGATATGAGGTATAAACTTGATGAAAATTTATTTTACCTAGTACATTAAATTTGGCTCAAGATGACAAAAAATAACAGCTCAACTTTATAGCTAATGTCATGAATGCCAAAAATTGATTACACATACAGACGACCTAAATTTGATGCATAATATGTATAAAGCATCACTATATTAGAGCTCAAATATATATATATATATAGCAGTTTCTGCCACCAGGGATCCAATGTTCTTTAGCGTGGTAATAAATATTAATCAAGTATGTCTAACTTCTAACATCACAATTGGTCAAAAATGGATAAAAAAGACTTTTCAAGTTTATTCTCATGATGCTCTTTCTGCCTCAAGGTGATCTAATTTTCAATAGAAATCAACAGTAGTAGGGTTGTTTGAACAATTTTTTAAGCATTTGATGGGGAAAAAAAGAAAGAAAGAAAAAAAAACGTAATTGTGCTCCACCTTTGACAGGTACTCTGCAGGTTTTATGAAATCTCAACTGCACTTTCCTTTAACATTAACCCTTGTGTTTTTGAAAGATAACAAGCATCCAAACTTAGGTAAAGAATAGCATGCTTCATGAGAGTTGAGTGATTGTAAGTAAGGACCTATGCCTTCTCTAGCTTTCAACTTTGGATCATAGAGGTTTATTTATCCTGGACCTATGGATTAGCCTTAAAAGGGCATCAACGACAGTCCAGATGACTTCAACACCAGTTTAAATAAATAACAGTATTAATCACATCTAAAGTCTGTAATCACTAAACCTTCTCACGAATAGACCATGATCCTTTTCCTATGCAAAACTCTAAAGGATTTCTAAAACAAACAAGTCCTAGAACATATAGTTAATTCTTACTTCATCCTTAAAGGAAGCTTAAATGTAAGAATAGATAAATTCTGAAAGCACCTTCTACACACTGATGCTTCAACTTGAAAATAAACAATAGCCATGTATGTGCAGTATGCCTAACAGACAATACTTCAAAACAAAAAACATAAAACATAGAATTGAAAACTGTTTCACTTGTGAAATATGATTAAAACATAATCCCAAATAAGACATAGACCTAATATAAGCAAAGGTTATGCAATATTATAGATTGTTAAATATAAAGGACAAAAAAAAAAGAAAGTTATCTTCATCTAATTTTCTCAGTCCGTCATTGGCCATTTCCAACACGGCCTCCAGTTCAATTTAACAATTGAATGACCAACACCTTTCTTCAGATCACCACACGCCAATCTGGCGAAGTTAATTTTCAAACAAAAACATAAAAGCGAAAAGGAAAAACATGAAGGTGAACATACAGGCTCGGAATCAAGTTTAACGGAGGGACCACCGACTGCCCCACTGCTAGAGAGAAGTTGCCGAAGCCTCATCGGCAAGCTTGATCTTATGCTCGCCATTTTCCTTAACCGTCTGCTACTCTATTAACTGTAACAACACAAATACACAATGAAGGGGCATCAAAACCTAATCATTAAAAGAATATAAATATATATACACATCAAATTAAACAAAAATAATGAGAATCCATCAATCAAACGAATTACATGAATAAAAGGAACACGAAAAGGTCCTCTCACCATACAAACCGCAACATCAAAAGGGTTTGCACTGTACAAAACGTTGTTTGAACTGTGAATTGAGAGAGAGCTATATACGTCTATGAGAAACCCCCCAAAAACACAAAAAGACGGCGGGTTTGATTTGGTTTGGGAGCAAAGTTCAGCCGAAAAAAGCAAAGACCGACCGTCCGCCCTCGCATATACGCAGGCTACGCAGTTAGGCGATGGCAAATATAAGCCTAGCGGCTCTCGCTCTTCATTTTTGCTAAAGATGGTTTGCTATTTGGTCCTCCTTATTCTGGTTTTTTATATTATTATTGTATTCCTAGACTTTTTATTTTATTTTAATGCATAAAATATAGTTTGTAGTATCGTGAATCTGATGATACGTGTGATTAATTTGAGACTTTGACTTGAGTGAGTTTTTAATCAATCTTTACTGGTTCAATACTGTGTACTATGGTTGATAAAATAATTGAATATATAATAAGAAATAAAAAAATTAAATTATATATTTTGTTGAAATTGAAAAAAAAAATAAAGAACAATATATAGTAATTTATAATAAATAATTAAGTAAATTAATAATATTATTTTAAAATCTAAAAACTAATTTATATACATCATTAATTTTATTTATAATAGTTTTGTTTAGAAGATAATAAAGAAAATAATAAATAGATTTATATGTAATGATTTAAATATATTAGATATGTGTATATATATATATATGGTAATCCGAACCTAAGTTATTTGGTATAAAAACTTAATAATTTTTATCCACGCCATATTACAAAACACAATATTTTACCATTTAAGATTACGAAGTATGCAAAGCTGCCACTTAAGCTTACCGCATTATTAAGTGCTTGTTTGGGAGCACTTCTGAAAAAGTCCATTTAAGATATGGACTTATCCAAAATGGACTTCTCCAAAAGTCTCAATTATTTACTTATACAAAATGGACTTTTTGGAGAAACAACTTATCCATAAGTCCATTCATTATTTAACACCAAACATAAATATTTATTCAAATGGACTTTTGGATCCAAAAGTCCATTTGAAAAGTGTTTCCAAAATATAGAAGGACGATAAGGGTTAAGACTTTTTTAAGTTAATGTTACTCTTTATATCTTACGAACCTTTCTTGGAAATTTTAAGTGGCATTTTGCCCTAGGATTCTGTGTACATCTTTTGTTTTTAAAATCTTAATAAAATTTAAAAATCCACATTGAATGCAAAAAAATAAAACTAGATGTCTCATCTCACTATTTTTTAGACTTTTCAAAATGACAAATAAATGAGTAAAAATAATTACAAAAATCAAAAAATATCAATATATTTTATTCCAATGAATACATCACTATGTAGTGTATTGTAGTCATGGGCGGAGCTATATGAGGCCTAGGGGCGGGCCCCTTGATTTTTTTTTAAAGCTAATATATATATAAAGAAAATTCTATAAAATATGCATAAAAATCAAAAAGTATTTACATTATATTAATAATAACAACTTATTCTCTATGCTATTTTAATTTAAATTAATAATATTATTTATTTATTAAGAAATATATTAACAATCATTATATTTACATTCTTAAATAAATTTTTGAAAGTATTTATAACGATTTACGCTTTCGGTCTCTTCATTGTAAATTGATTTTGTGATGTATAAAACCGAGTGTTTATTTGGATTTTTACGTTTTTTAATGTTGATTGTTTTACCTTTTTTTATGTAATCACATATTTTTAACTTTATTTTTTTTCTAAATATTCAATTGATAAGCTCTAATCAACAAAAATTTTATGCAATGTGCTGCAAAAATTCAATTTAAATCAATTTTTTTCAACCAAAAAACTTAATTTTTTCATAAATTATAGAAGTTAAACTTAAATTATAAATATATGAGATCTCATTTTTTTTTTAGAAGTTTGAAGATGATACGGATTCTAAGTTTTTAAAACTTGATGGTACACATTTCGATATTTATATTATAGTAAATACATTTCATATGAAATGAGCGTTTCGACTTAAACTACANCTGAGTGAAATTTCTATATCCGTCACTGTTTGTAATTTGGCAATATATTATTTACAATGCCACGATGTTTATAAGGATCACTAGCAAAAGAAATCTCTAAATCCCACATTACGACTACACATTGAACAATTATAAGTTAAGCAGTGAGATAACAAACACAAGAAAGCACAACGGTAGCAGTTTCAAGGGTTCCCAAATAATGTATAAGTGTTATGATTTCTTCCAATTATCCGAACTAAAGGTGGTATTACAGTCGTAACGCTCAGGACTACTTAAAAAAGTCTCTAATTGATGGTTAAATCACACAATTTTGTTAATATTTTGAAAATTGAGTTCCACCGGGTGAAATGTCCACTTGGAATTTTTGGGGTACAACAATGTACACCATTTTTTCATTTCTTGAGGACGGCGGCGCAAGTATATAACAGTCTCATAATGGGAACGACCAACAATTTCAAAGCATTATAACTCAACTAGACACAAATATTAAGGACATGACACATACACCGAATATGAAAAAACAATAATTAACTTAATTAAAATATGGGAAAACGCATTACCGAAATACGTTTTAAAGTAAAAAAAAAACACGTATTATACAAATATGTTTTATAATTAAAATTAATTTTACATTTATGTTTTAATTATAAAACGTATTCTTGAAATCCGTTTTTCAAAAAAAAAATTAATTTTTACACTTCTTAAAAATAAATGTTTTCAGAAAATAATATTTCAAAATATAAAACGTATTTTGAAAATACGTTTTTCCCGTAATTTTGCCCCAAATTGATTTTACTGCCCTAAATTTAGCCCCAAATTGATTTTGCCCTAATTTTGCACAGTAAAACGTATTCTTGAAATACGTTTTCTGTTAAAAAAAATAAAAACGTATTTTCATAATACGTTTTAGCCCCAAATTGATTTTGCCCTAATTTTGCACAGTAAAACGTATTCTTGAAATACGTTTTCTGTTCAAAAATATAAAAACGTATTATGAAAATACGTTTTATTGTGCAGGTTTTAGCAAAAATCCTATTAGAGATCATTTGACAACCAAATATACCTGTTCACAACCAAATACACGTGTTCGAGCAACTAATATCAACATATTCGCCCAATAATAATCCAACATACACTATAAACAAACAAATGAAACACAATAATTTGTTGAACAAACAATATATACAAAACGATATAATTCGGTTTATACTGACAATCCAACAATTCCAAATGAACACAAAATCCACGAATTCAACACAACTAACTAGGAAGGAGTGTGATAAGGTCCAAGACGAATGACTCTGGTTCCTCGCCTGGTCCTCCTCGGGTTGCATGGTAGGTTGGTGGGTGTTCTTCAGTCCTTGCACTTGAGTTCGACGGTACCTGCAAAGCGCCGGAATTGCTCCGACGCAAAACCCTCCGACGCCCAAGTCAGTATAGCCGCATAGAGAGAGTTTGGAGCAATAAAATGGGATAGTGAAAGAGATAATGAGAGGTCTCACCTTCTGTTCTAGCATGTAACATATATATAGCGTTTAATTGTACGGATTACCTTTTCACTTAGGCATCTATCGATCTACTGTAGGCCGGTCGATACTGGGATACATGGGTCGACACTAGGTTCACCTCACTGCTGCCTTGCGGTCTGCTTGAGTGGGTCGACACCCCCTCGACCCGTTCGACCGTGCATATTGACAATCTACCCGACCCTTAACGGCCCTTAATATCGGCCAAGGGTCATTGGTCTATGTGCTCTACCCTTCGGGCCATGGGTCTATATATGTTCTACCTTTTAGGCCAATGGTCTATGTTCTACCCTTTAGGCCAATGGTCTACGTATGTTCTACACTTAAGGTCATGGGTCTATGTATGTTATACCCTTTAGGCCAATGGTCTATGTTCTACCCTTTAGGCCAATGGTCCATGTGTTCGACCTTATGAGCCGGTCGATTATCCGACCCTAGCTCAATCCCATGGTCCCTTCGACCCCGATTCTATGGGTCCTTATCCGGTTGAGTCGAGCCGGTACTAATATCCTTATCAATTACTCCCCCTATTTACGAGTATACGAAACGAGATTCGTATGGTCGTCAATATCATCGGCTCAATCCTTCAAAGAATCATAAGACCCCGAACACATATTGACCGGTTCAAGTCCGATCAATGCACGACCTTATGGGCTAATAATCGACCCTCACTGTGATCATCAGGGGTCGATACCCGAGCTGGTCGACACAGGGTCAAGGGTCGAGCCTCGATCCGTGATGCGTCCCATCGACCCTTCGATTCTTTTGGCTCGATTTTGACCCATTGGGCCGCTCAACCCTTGTTGAGCCTCCTCTGCCGGTTGATGCTAGGGTCGATGGTCGAGTCCTTGGGCTAGTTGACCCATGAGCTCTTTAGGCTCGGTCCAGTCCTGGGGTTTTATTATGCCTCGGTTTAATGGTCTTTGTCCGGTTGAGTTAAGTCGATACTAATATCCCTATCAGAGTGTATGGAGGCCTAGGCTTGCGCGGTCTGGACCCTCTCCGAGTATATACCATGTGAGAAGAAAACGAAGGTTGAGGTGTGAGAAGCGTGTCAGTTTGAAAAGCTTGCGTATTTTCATCTTCTTCATCTGAGTAATTCAATTGAAAAAAGAAATCATAAAAAAAAAATAAAAATTGTTAATTTAAAAATCTCACCTTGTTGAGGCTCGGGCTGCTGGGCGGACGACATTCGTCCTGGGAGAAAACTTGACTGGACGCCCCCCCATGTGGAACACCCTGGCCCCCAACAGCCAGAGAAGACAAGGCACAGTTGTACGACTGTTGGAAGCCGGTCTGCGCTTCTAGAGGGATTTGAGGCATTAATGGTTGAATATCGGATAATGCGCCATAAACCCCTTGTAGTGCAGAAGTCTGTAAATAAAATTCATAATAATTAATACGAAACGAAAAAAAAAAATAAAAAAATAATAATAATAATAATAATAATAATAATAATAATAAACACAAATAATGAACACTTACCTGACAGCCTAACCGCTCGGCAAGTGGTTGATACCCGCCCGCCTGTTGAAACACCGGGTAATTGGCAGGGCTATTGATGAATCTCACAGTCCTGCTGTGAAACCATTCAAGGTAACCCTGCTCCGGCTGCAGATAGTCGTACACAGGGACAACTGGGAGGAGACGTTGTTTTATTTCTTCGGTCCACAAGCTCAGAAACGGTACATGGAATGCGGCCCAATCATAAAA